GTCAGAGGCAGTGCGATTGGCACAGGATAGAGCAGAGTTTAGGGCTGTTGTACATAGGGTCGCTATGAGTCACAAACGACTCGTTGGCACATAACAACAACAACTATGAAAGCAACCCAGTTTTCTTCACCTTTTCATCTCTAGCTTAATAGGTCATATGATTGTCTGACTCAAAACGCCCCATACCAGTCCATCTCATCTCGCCAATACCTAGTATTTCAATACGTATGTGTTCCATTTCTTCCTTAACCATATCTAATTTTCCTACGTTCATGGCTCTCATATTCTATGTTCCAGTCACTGGTGTCTGCTTACAACTTTTCCTTTTCCTTTGTGTTTTCACACTTGAAAGCTCCACCTCCGCTGCCCTGTCTGCTAGTCTAAGTGTGTTCTGTTGTACACAGGGTTTTCAGAGGCCTGCTACTTTGGAAGTGGAAGACCAATTCTGGCTACAGGAAGTGACAGAGATATGTTATTATAGAAAGTTGTTGTTGTTGCTGTTAAGTGCCATTGAGTTATAGACGACTCATAGAGACCCTGTAAACAAAAGACTTGAGCACTGTTCTTAGAATTTCTAGAGGCAAGTCATTTCGAAAGTGGATGTCACTCCTGCTTCCAATCTTGTTTTAATCGTGAAGCTCCACCAAACACTGTCCACCATGGGTAATCATTATTGCATTTGGCACATCATTGTCAAGTGTTAAGCATCACAGCAACCATGAGTTAACCCTCTGTATAGCAGAGCACAGACCAGTGCTATACCATTTAAAAGAATGTTTGACAAAAAAAAAAAAAAACAAACAAAACAAACCAAACCAAACCAAACAAAACAAAACAAAAAACAACCCTATTAAAACCAGGCCTGAGGGCTGCAGATTAAAATCACCCACCTTGGACTTGATGGCATAACGTTCTGTCCACTAGGTCAATGTAGTGCTCGCTATGTTGTCATTGTTATTGTTGTTAAGTGTGGTTGAGTCATAGATGACTCATAGTGATTCTATGAACAAAGACCTACGCACTATGGAGACCAGTTTGAAAGTCATCTACAGGAGCTGGTTCTACAGAAGCTGTTGGCCGGGATTTGGTGAGTGGTAGGGTGAAATGTTGTTTTGCTAAGGAAAGTGAGGAGATATGATAAGGCCTCCTATTTAGAAACCCTTTTTGGTGGGCAGCATGGTGCTGGAGACCGGCTTGAAAGTCATTTATAAAAGTTTGAATATAGAAGGTAGATATGGAATTATTATAATGAGAATGTGAATTTGCTCTGGCTGAAAGCAGAGAATACCAGAAGAATGTCTATCTGTGTTTTATTGATTATGCAAAGGCATTTGACTGTGTGGATCATAACAAACTGTGGCTGACTCTGAGAAGAATGGGAATCCCAGAACATTTAATTGGGCTAA